GGCTTCTTTTTTTAAGTCTGAACTTCTTTTAAGTTATGTTCCAATTTTGTTCAGGGTGTTTTTTTTTAATTTAATTCTGTTCCAAATGTATTGAAATGAATTCAATTTATCATTTTTTTACAATTTTTTTCATTTTTTCTCATTATTTATTCTCCTTCTCTTCTTTTTTTTTTAAGTATATCAGTGGAAATTACACATTATTCATTATAATTCATAATTTTTTTTGCTTCCCTCAAATGCTGTTGGTCTAAATGCATCACATGACTGAGTGTTTTTTTGGAACTAAAACTGGGGAGCACTGGGGATTTTTCTCAGTTTATGTTTTTTTTTTTTCAAACCTAACATTTGATTTGGGAAAAGACTATTTTTCAAATATATTTTTTTATAATAGGGCATACTGACATTATTACAAGCTCACTCTTTTTTCTCGTTTTTTTCTCTTGGGAAACATTATTTTTTTGTTCCTGACTAATCAGATGAATTTTTTTTTCAGACACCTGCACACATTTTTGCACCAAATGGAGATTATTGATCATTTTTTTTATGGCTAGAAAAACTAGAAGTAAACATTGGCCAATGCCCATACCCTTTTTTTTATTAAGTTCCCACCATAAGCAAAACACCAGAATTGTTTATGAGTACTTTTTTTCTATCCCCCAAATGTCTTCTGGACATAAGTGCAGAGTTTGTTGATATTTTTTTGGGATGTGATATCAAGTTGATGGTGCTGAATATGTTACATTTAATTTTTTTTTAAGTTCACCAGAATATTTTGGTACCTGCTGTAAGAGTTTTTTTTTTTTTTTTTTTTTATTCACGAAAGTGAAGTTTTGCACTAAGAGCGATTGTACCTTTTTTTTTAAATCAAATACCACAATTAGCTTAAAAACCATCCTTGACCCTATTTTTTTTTTCATGAATGAAGCTTGAGAAAAATTTGGCTAACATAAGTAAATGAAATTTTTTTAAACATGATCTTTGTAATCTTAAACTTTTATTACTTACAGAAACTATTTTTTTAAGGATTTTACCCTGGATGTAATGTGTGTTCTAAGTAAGTAAACCATTTTTTTAGTGACAACCATTTGCTACGTGGTATGTTTTCTTTTGAGTGTTCTATGGTTCAACTTTATGAGCAAATATAGTTCAACTTTATAAGCAAACATATTATATTTGCGTTCGTTAACATCCATAAAACACTCTCTTTTCTTAAATGAAATTCAAATTTTTTTTAATCTTAGTGGATATAAGGTTCCAAAACTGGGGAATGTCACTTGTTTTTTTTGGAAGGGGAGGGGGGGCTAGGGGGGAAGTGCTGGAAGTAAGTGTTGTTTTTTTTCATATAAATCATTTTTAGAGACGACTTTTCACTTACAGCCACTGTTTTTTTTCTAATTGGGAAAATACATTGCCTTATAAATTCTTGATCTTGTTGCCTTTTTTTTCCCAGTAAGTTTTAAAACTTAGTATTACTAATACGTGGAAATTTATTTTTTTTGTTTGCGTTTGATTGAGATGCTAACAAACAAAGAAACGCGAAGTTTTTTTTTGTCTTAAGCTGAGGGAACGCTTGAAGGTTCTTTAAATCATTTTATATTTTTTTTATAAGATAGTAGTCCTTTTTAATATCAATTTTTGTTATGGACTTGTTTTTTTCATGGTCCATCTCATGGGATTGTCTATGTCACCATCTTTAATTTTATTTTTTTGCTTATTTATATTCGTATAGTTGTAAATTGTATGCATACTTATAACTCACAATGCTAACCCTATTACAAGTGATACTTAACTTATAATAATTATATATACTAGAAAGGTAGACATG